GCGGAGGAGAAGGGTCCCCAAACCACTGTGTCTCCCCCAGGAAGGCGGATGCGTGGGGGACGGCCCTCTCGCAGTGGACCAACGCTCAGATCTCGGACCATTACAGCACCTGCATCAAGCTCTCCTCCGAGAACGTGAGTCTCCGCCCCGGGGAGGGCTCCTCCCCTCGCACACCACCTCTGTCTGGCAGCGGTTGAAGGGCCGGGAGGGATTTTAAACTCCCTGAGCCTTGGCTACGCTGTTATCCTTCCTGTACCCCATCCCTGCTCCAAGCCACATCCAGATCTGGGCATCTGTTGCTGCCTTCCCAGCAGCAGGACGTGGCACGGCTCATATCCCCTCGGTCCCGCTGTAAATACCCCCGTGGGGTGAGGGTTCGGACAGTTGTGACAGGTGTCATTTGCCAGGGGGTCATTTCTGGGCTGCGCTTTGTTTCAGAAAATCACCACAAAGAATGCCTTTGGCTTACACCTGATAGACTACATGACCAGTATCCTGAAACAGAAGGACTCTGAACCCACCGACTTCAAGGTGAGAGGAATCGCTGCCTGGTCGCAGCGGTGCGCTGTCTGCGACGGGCATTTAGCGTAAGGTGTAGTCAGTAACAAACCTCAAATAACGCTGAAGGTAACGGAGCTGGTTACTGCTAAAAATACCTGATAGTGGCAGCGCAGTTGCTTTTCGCAGGAGCTTACGGCGTTGAATCCTTTTGTACCACAGACTTTCAGTTGCAGTCCTTCAAAATGAGAGCTGCTTCTAAAGTGAGGCTTTTGAGGTAAATAGTGGGTGTTACAGCCAGTAACAAGAGGCTGTAAAAGAAAGGCAGTTAGCATGGCTAACCCCCAGACTGATTTTGATCCAGGATGGATCCGAATAAGAACTTGCCAGGGTGAGGATTTACCCGCTGTAGTATTTCACTGGTGCTTGGAGGGAGAACTGAAGCCTTGGATGAGTGAGCAAGTGAACGTGTCCTCAAGGAACCCCCGAGCTAGCTGTCTTACGGTTGATGAAACTGAGGAAGGGACGGGAGACAGCACACAGGTTTTCAGCCTGTGGTCCTTCAGCTTCCAGGGCGGGGGTCTGTGATCGAAGAGGGCACTTGGCATCTCTTGCCCTTCACCTTTTTGACTTCCTAAGTTGGGAAAATAGGATGATTCCAAGAGGATGAGCTCAAAAGAAGGCACAGAGGAGAGAGGTCTCTCGGCAGATGCAAATCTGCACCTTAGTGATTCTCCCCATTGCTTAATCTTGGCAACTTTTTAAGTATTATCCCTTCCAAAAGGCCTGATAAAAGCAACCTGCAGGCTGTGGTGGGGGAAGACACATCTTGATGCCTGTACCTAGGTCTCCGGTAGGTTTGAGGATAAATCCTTTTCCGGTTGTTCACAATTTTGCTTGTACCACGGAGCATTCAGTAACTCAGGTCTGCAGCCCGTCTTCTGCGCTCGCAGCTTCCAGCTGAGGCTTTTTCCATCCTAACTAAAAATTGCTTCTTTTGTTCTTCCTGACAGGTAGTGGCTGGCACGCTTGACGCCAGCGCGAAGATTTACGCCGTGCGCGTGGATGCGGTCCACGCGGATACCTACAAAGTTCTTGGAGGTTTAGGCAAGGACTCGGCGCCTACGGAAAACGTGGCCAGCCCAGACAGAGGTGTGCCAGTCGCTCATTTTCTGTTCAGCTGTTCCACCCGCACGTAGGAGAAACCTCAGTGTACACAGCACTCGTCACTTTTGGAGTGATTTGTGCCTCTGGGAGAGTACCACTAACTTCATTTTCCAAGGGCTGGGAAATCCCGGATTGGTTTGCGTGGGTGCTTGCCTAAATCTGTCGCTTGATCCTGTATTCAGCGATGCAGCCTGTCAGATTGGCGTGCAAACCATAGGTGGCCTAGTCTGAAACATTAAAAATGAAGTGCCCTGCGCTTTGCTGGCCTTTCCTTTGAAAGGAAAAAGTGTTGTCAAGGTAAAATAGAGGCGATAAATAGAAACGCAGCGGCCAGCTGATAAAACGTTGGTGGTTCACGCTGGTGGATACCCAACTGGGTCGCTTCGTGTTCGTCGTACAGACTGAAGTGAAAGTTGTGCTACCCCTCTGTTAGGGTATTTTAGCATGTTTTCCAAGTGTAACTTGTTCCTCTTTTCCTCGTAGGAGACAGTCTGACTCCAGAGGCCGTCAAGAGAGTTCAGGCAAAGAAAAAACACTCGTTCAAAACCATTGAGCAGAACTTGAATAACATCAACGTGTCGGAGGCTAATCGCAGATGTGAGGTAGGTGGGGGGGGCTGCCGTAGCAGCTGCTTTCTGGTGGAGGAAGGGAGATGTCGCCTCATCTTTCTCGTTTCTGTTAGCTTATTGCGTGTTCCATGGCTCTAACACCCCTGTGCACGCCGGTGAGTTCTGCTCTTACAGCAAGATTGTTCCTCGTCACGTATATTCCTCCTGCGCGAGGCAGCTGTGAGAGTTCTCTCCTCGCTGAGAAAGAAGCGTGGGTCATTCTCCCTTCGGATCTGTACTTAAAACTCTCCTGCAGACTTCACCCTCTCCGTCTACTCCATTCCTTGATTCTCTGCTTCCTTCCGTACCTGCAGGTTGATCCCATGTTCCAGAAAACAGCCATGTCTTTTGACGAATGCAGCACAGCTGGCATTTTCCTCATCGGGCTGCGCACCCAAAACTGCCACAGCGAGCTCCTCTTCGACTCCATGATCACGCCTCTCCCTTCGTCAGAGACGCTCATGCTGCCATCCTCTGATCCTGTGAAAGTGATGGATTTAAAGGGTGAGTGCCGGTAACCGCTGAGCAGAGGGGCCCATCCAGACTTTTCCATCCTTTTTGTCTCCCAAGCGTGCTTGGTTTAGTCTCAGCCAGCTTGACTTGTGCTTTTGGTTCACTCCTTGGCTACCCCGTGGTACTATTGCCCCGATTCTGCTCGAGGTGAGACTGGTTCCTGGAAAAACAGGACCTTTGTAAGGTTTTAGATCGCTGCGTGTAGCATAATCTCTGGCAGATCTGTCACGCAGCACGTACACGTGGTCTGAGCTGTGCAGAGGCTGAGCTTAGTGTGCTCCAGGTTAATGACTGACCTTCTTAGAGAGCTGAGAGCCTGTATATACTAACAAACTCCGCTGCCCTGATAAAATTCCCAGTGGCTTTAAGAATGATTTCATGCCTGGCACTTATTTTAGCCGCTGGTTGCTTCCTGCTGTATCTAACCTCTCCCTTTGCTCTCCTTGGCTCTAGCCCTGCTAGCACAGTGCGTTGAAAATCGCCCCATCTGCTCCTCGCTGGCTGGTTTCCAGTTTACAAAGTGGGACGAAGAATCCCACGATGAGGTACGTTCGGTAGCTCGGTGCCGGGTGGGATACTTTGAGCTGCGTTCCGCTCAGCTCCAGAGCGATCCCTGAGACACGCTGGGCAGCGGGATGCTGCGCCGCCGGCCTGCTGCTGCCCTGCAGTTTTCTTCCCTGAGTTCTCTCTTCTCCTGCAGTCAGTGGCAGCCCTGTTGGATAAATTTAAGAAGAGCGACCAAGCTTTCGATATCGATGCGGAGATGGACAGCGACGTGGAAGACTCTATTCCCGATGCGCCAGCTGACGACTTCAGTTCTGACTTCCCCAGGAGTACGGATGCAGACAAGATCGGGGGGTTCACAGAAAACCTCAAGTCCTTTGAGACAGACAGCAAGAAGTAAGTAGTCACTGAAAATCTTGGATGGCGGATGACAACTTCAGGCAGCTCTGGGGAATCTTTTATTTACTGGGTACACCTTCCCCATCGCTTGCTTTCTGCTCCAGTTTGGGGCATGTCCAGGAATGCATTACGGTAATATCTCGACCCTCCAAGAGAGCCTTTGCATAGGGTGACGCTTCCCCAGCGGCTGCATGTCTGCTCGCTCTGCTCCCCGTTTTCCAGCTTGTCCTTCGGCAACTCCTAGAATCACAGAATGGTTTGGGTTGGAAGGGACCTTAAAGGTCATCGAGTTCAAACCCCCTGCCATGGGCAGGGTCACCGTCCAAC